GGGGGGGGGGGGGGGGTCGCAGCTGTACTCGAGGGGTGCTCGGTGTCCCGCACGGCGGTAGCGGGAAGACATTAACATACTATACTTCGTAAAAACCGGATTGGATATGAAGCGAGCGACGTGGGAAGCGCCGGAAACGAAGAGAGGCGAGTGGAGGACGGGATGAGAACGGGGTGCCAGGGTTACTCACTTGATGCTTTCCACAACATGACCATAATACCTCTAGACGGCGCTTCCTTATAGCCCCTGTAATAAAATAGTAGAGACATGAACGGTACACTTGGTCGCTCTCGACGCTCCCGCCGTGCTCAACGGAGGGGAAAGTCACACCTGCCTCATCCCCTTCCTTTCATGGGGGACGTGCAGAAGAGATCTAATGCATACGTCTACTCTATTAGTGCATTCTGATACATACCACCAAACTTTACATTATGTGCAACTTTCTTGTACTCTCGGTCATGGACTTCCTCGAGGACTTCCATTCGACGGCCCTTTTACCCCGACAAAGGTGACTGCCACTCTCCGCTGTCTTGACGCCGGGTTACTTTCGCTCCCCCTGCTTCCTTCCCCTACTACTATCATCCCTCCCCTACGTTCTGACAAAAGTAGTTCGCGCCCACCCGAGATTTCGGTTTCAGCTCTTTCGAGTGCAACAGCAGCGCATTCGGGTGATTGGACGAGAGTTTTTCCCAAGTCTCCTTGTAGCAAACATCCCCGTGACATCGTATTGTGAACTTCCCCTTTCATTGTGCTAAGTACCGTTTCCCTTCTTCATGTCCTGTTCTCCATGCCTTGCGTGAAAGAGGGGCTCAGAGGCGTGCATGCGCACTATTACTTGTAGGAATTAGGCGAGGAGCATCAGGAGCACCCAGAGAACAGCAGCAAAAAAACAAAAGAGACAGGCCTCTTCACCTGGAACGCAAGGTAGAACTCGACGGCCATGAGGAACGATCCTTCCCAGAACAACTTCACGCTCGTGTCCTCCTGTCACAAACAAGAATCGCGGCATCATACCCACATCACCATCAGCGTAAATGAGCGTCAGGCACTTGCAGCCAGCTCGCAAGGACGAGTTGCCGACTATCGGGTAAGTAATACGCAAGCAAGCGCGTGCACTGGTTGCCGGCCGCGTCTCTCTCGTCGTCGGCGTGCGAGACGCGAACAGCCGTAGACAACAACCAATCACAGAAAGGGCGAACGACAATTGAGCGGTGTCGCACTGCCTGCTATTATAGCCACAAGAAGAAAGCTTGCCTCGTCAATTCCGGTGCAATTGTACTAATTTGGCGGAGGGGGGTCTCAAGCGGGACTACGCGGATAGTGCTTCACCTCATGTCCGCGGGTATTGGCCCTCAGGTTGGTCAGCACGCGGCGG